TTCTATTCTATTCTATTCTATTCTATTCTATTCTATTCTATTTTCCTAGTCTTGAGTCAAGTTTGCCCTCTTAAAACCTTGTTGTTCCTTTGATTTGCAGCAACATTGTAGCTGAAAGAAACTTACTGAGCAATTTTGAAATAATTGAGAAAAACACCAACTTTGTTTTGTTATTTTTGTTGCTGCCTTGAACTGGATTTCCTCTTAATGGAAGGAAGGGAACACAAGTTTCAAAGAATTCCAAACAGTTTGTTTTCCTGCCTGTTTTTATGGGCAGAAACTCCTGGAACTGATCAGAAGCTGATTTATTGTTTTCAAGGAGGTCTAGTTTTCTTAGAGGAAGAAAATTGCCACAGTTCTGAGTCTTAAGGTCGGGTTCTAGTCTTAGTAAGCAATCACGTACACATCAACTGAGTTGTCACAAGTTCTTCAAAAGGATCTACGATAGGAATGTTGGGATTTGGTGAGGGATTGAGAATTATTCAAGATTTGTTCAAGGTTGCAAACTACTTTTGTAAATCTTGATTTTTTTTCTTTTCATTGACATGGAATAAAAGCCCTTATTAAGTACTGTAAATAAATCCCTGGCTCTGCTCAGAGTAGAGCATCCAAAAAATGATCCTGAGATTAATTTACATTTGTAGAAGCGTGCCTTCGGAATGATGTAAGAAATGGATCTCTTTCTACAAGCAGCACCAAAAATTATATACAATCCGCAGAGGCAGCCATGCATGGAATGCACATAAAAAGAGATGAGGCTTCATTTGCACAGTCACAGCTGCCATCTTGACTTTTTTCCCCACCTTTTGTGAATACCCAGTAGAGGCAGTTCACACATTCAGCTGGATAGAGGAATATTGCCATGTTTTGCTGAGAGAGGCAAGGAAGGAAGGAAGGAAGGAAGGAAGGAAGGAAGGAAGGAAGGAAGGAAGGAAGGAAGGAAGGAAAGGAAAGGAAAGGAAGGAAGGAAGGAAGGAAGGAAGGAAGGTCCTCATTTTGCTGTCTTTCTTTCTGCAGCCCCCAGTTGAGAATGTCCTTTATTGTCTTCTCCACTCAAGGTTCAACCCTGATGGACCTGACAGAAGACAGGTAAGAAGGAGGGGGGGTATTACTGTCCTAGGACCCGCCATCCTAGCTGTTACTTCGCACATAAATGTTGATGTTATAACCTGGGTAGCAAGCATGAGCATCATATTAAATATGCTTGGGCACCTCATCTCTTAAGGACCACCTCTTTCAAGCCCCCCAAATGATCCCTAGAACAGATTTGGAGGGCCTTGAGAGGTGGGAATCAGACATTTTCAGGCTAATGTTGAAAACAGGTTATGGGGCAAAGACTGTTGCTTTTTTGAAAAGTTGTACAACTGTCCTGTTTTACCCAGAGAGAAATTTTGATTTATTAGTGACTGTGTTTATATTCAGCCCAAACAGTACTTTGCTGTTCTTAAGAACAGCAACAACTACTAGAGATAGAAGATGTCTATTTTGAAGGGCATCATTGTAGGAAGGGGTCCAAACTGTGCTCAGTTTCCACATGAACAGCTTCTCGTGCTTTCACAAGCCTTCCTCCTGTCATTGTGTCCAGAAGAACTGTGTGTTAGCCTGTCTAGCAGTTGCCTCGTGCTGCTATCAGTGACCACAGCCAAGTTCTCCCTTGATCTGGTGCTTCCAAACCATACGTCCTCCTGTTCAGACGCACCTTATTAGGGAGAAGGGCAGAGAGGGAGAGAGAGAAGAGAAGAGAAAGAGGGGGAGAGAGAGGAGAGAGAGAGGAGAGAGGAGAGAGGAGAGAGAGAGAGAGAGAGAGATGTTCTACATTTTTCCTCCCTAAATATAATACCTTGCATTTGTCTCTCTCACAGCATACCTTGTTCCCCACAAGTCAGGTTTCCATCCTTTAGTGCAGTAGCATTAGAAAAGTAAGAGAAGAAGAAGGAAGAAGGAGGGAGAAAGGCACATGTTGGCCAATCTGACACCTCTTTACTTGTTGGGAACTGCAATAGATGGCCCCAAATCAGACTTTTCCCATACATGTTTCTGCAGATATTGGTGAATGGTGACGTTCAGGGGAAACAATCCAGCTGTCTTCCCCCTTTTCCTACCCTTAGACTTTCTTAGGACTCCGGAAATGGAGCTCGCAGGTTGCCAGGCACTGTGCAGGAAAGAATAAAGAAAAAAAGATGGGAGTCCTAAAAAAAGAACTTTTCCCATGCCTAGAGAGCAAAATAATTATCAGCCATCTCGCCATTCTGGCTGTCTCCGTACATTGTCTTGCCTGGAGATAATAATAGTTTTCCTCAACGTTTCTCTCTCACCACAGCATTGCAAAATGTTTTACTTCAAGTAGACAGTGGGAGAGTTCAGAGCTGTGACTTCTTTGGCATGCCTATCTTGCCTGTCGCAAATACTTTCTCTCTAACCAAAGCTGGTGTCTTCTGCTGTTCCAGAGAAAAAATCCGTCGAGGCTTAGATGAACTTCAGAAGGTCTTGCCAGGAGGAGACACCTACATGCACGAAGGATTTAAAAGGGTAAATAAGAGCAAAGAAGTTATGTCTTTGTTTTAGGATGGGTGCCACAGGCAGAGGGCAGCCTGGGCCGGAGCATCTACGGCAGTGTTTCTCAACCTTGACAATTTTAAGGCATGTGGACTTCAACTCCCAGAATTCCACAGCCAGCATTGCTGGCTGTGGAATTCTGGGAGTTGAAGTCCACATGCCTTAAAATTGTCAAGGTTGAGAAACACTGATCTACGGTAAGTAGGTGTGAAAGGCAGCAAGATGGTGGTTGCTACCATCCCATCAAAGCTCCAGCCAGTTTTTGATATGCTTTCCACACAGGATGCACGTAAACATGGGATGGGGCTCCAATCTCAGGGTCACAATGTCCAACTTTACTTTTGCTTTGCTCTGTGGCTGGATAGCAACCGCCCATCCCGTCCCCAACTTGTCTGCTTCACGGTGTGGCCCCATATTCTTGCCACGGGTAATTGAAGCTATACTTTATCCATGCATTGCATCCTAATAATTTTCTTTGGTTCTGTTTTAGGCCAGTGAGCAAATTTATCATGAAAATGTTCAAGGTAAGAATATGTTCAATAAAGTGGTCATTATTACTTTTGCTCATTTGTTAAGAGCGTCTTCCTTCATTATTTTGCAGTTGACCTTCCCTGATATTTGTCATTATTCTAAATCAATCTATTTCCCTCTTGGTACACAATACGGGTAGTCCTTGACTTACACCCGTTCGTTTAGCAACCGTTCAAAGTTACAACAGCACTGAAAAAGTGACTTATGACTGTTTTTCATACTTATGACTTTTGCAGCATCCCTATGGTCATGTGGGACATCAATATTTGGACACTTGGCAACTGGCATGTACTTAGGACGGTTGCAGTGTCCCAGGGTCATGTGATCACCTTTTGGGATCTTCTGACAGGCCAAGTCAATGGGGAAGCCTGATTCACTTAACAACAGTGTTGCTAACTTAAAAACTCTAGGGATTCACTAAACAACTGTGGCAAGAAACATTGTAAAAGAAGGCAAAACTCACTTAACAACAGCAATGTTGGGCTCAATTCCGATCATAAGTCAAGGACTACCTGTAGTGCTACCCTGTTTCCCCAAAAATAAGACCTGGTCTTAGTGTTTTGTTGGCCTCCAAAAGGGGTACCGGGTCTTATTTTTGGTGTGTGTGTGTGTGTGTGTGTGTGTGTGTCTTTTCCATTCACTTTGCAGTGGCGGCACCGACAGTCCCGCCCAGCCGGCCCCCTTCTTCTGGGGCCGAAGGAGCAGCTTCATTCCGCAGCTGAGAATGGAGCTCCAGCCTGCATTTCGCAGCCAGAGGCCTTTCCGGATTGAATCCACAGCTCCGTTCTCGGCTGCAGAGGCCTTCCGGAAAGGCCTCTGATTGAGAAATGCAGGCCGGACCTCCATTCTCAGCTGCAGAATGAAGCTGCTCCTTCCAGCGAGGCAAGGGTCGATCCATGGGAGGCCTGACTGCAATGGGAAGCTCCAACCCCCCATCCCGCCCTAGCTTGATTTTTAGGTGTATGCCTTGCCCCAAAACTAGGGCTTATTTTGGGAGGTAGGTCTTATATTAGGCCTGCCCCCCAAAATCAAGCTAGGGCTTATTTTCGGGGTAGGTCTTACTTCCAGGCAAATATGATATTCTGATATTAAATGAACACACAGACATACAGACACACGTACTGTACATGAAAGGCATAAGTAATTAACAAAATTGACACTAAAAAAATAAATTGCAGGATATCCAGCATTAATTCTTCCCAGTGGAGAACAACAGGAAGTAATAAAACCTCTGAATGTGCAAGTATTAAAACTTTTTATTAAGGTTGCCAGGAATCTTTGCTAAAGTAAACTGGTTGTCCGGAAATGTTATCAGAGCATCTTAGCTATTGCAAAGGGCAATGCAATAAAGTTCTACGTTAAATGTTAATAACAGTGTTTTGGAAGCCTCAATTTTATTGGATTCCATTCTGTTTTTGAATGGAAGTTTGAGACCAAATTATTCTGTTCTGTTTTTATTCAGAAGTACTGGGTTGGGTTCCATAAGGTTTGAAGCTGTTGAAACACAACTCTGTTCGTTTATTTTTTGTATTTCTTCCACATTCCTACTCAAAAAACCCTGGGCAGACCTTAGAGTATCTAAGTTTGATTGGTGGTTCTGTGGCATCACACATCTGCAGTGTGAAAACATAGTTTTTGATATCTTCTTGCAATTCAAAATGCTGCTATTAAGACAAACTCTGGTTAGATCCACCATGGGCAAACTACACATTGCCCACACATGCAGATGATTGATCTGCAATTCTTACTTTTCTAAAAAACAAAAATCTACTTTGAAATGGAAGCACGTTAAGTAATGATGCATAACCCATCGCCGTCATTTCTCTGCTTGCTGCTTTTAAATCCTCTTCCAAAAATTTTAAATCCTGCTTGCTAGATTAATCTGAGTAATTGGCTTTCAATATTTGCCTTTATGGTCTAGTAGAGAAGGCTTCTAGCTTGGGGACCCAGAGTTCTAATCCTGCCTTGGGTATAAAAGCCAGACAGAATTCTTGAGATTATCTTCACTTTCATAACAGCAGTATGTTAACATGAGTATAAATGCATGACTCAGGTTGACAGCAGCAGCCAAATTAACTTTAATTACTTCTTCACTGTGGTGGGATCATTTGAAACCCAGACCACAGACAAGCCCAGACCACGCTCAGATCACAATAACAATCTTGGAGTGATAAGAACACCTTTGGGCAGTAATTCTGCCTTCTCTGCAGTTGGCATGCTGTAATTGGGATGATAATATGTTGTCTCTTCTCCGTGATGGGCCTAAAGCGATCCCAAGGCTTCCCTCTTGCTCTCAGACCACATGGAAAATGAATAAATGTACAACTCTGGGGAAAATGGCAACCTTTAATTATTTCTCGTACATCCCATCTGTAATTTTTAATAAAAGGTGAGGCAGAGTTCAGCTTGATGTGAATTTACAGTTCTTTAATCAGATTGCATCCATTTAAGCACGCAGGAAAAGAAAGTTCAGGATTCTTTCAAGATTTGATCACAGCTAAGTTGTGGAGCTGTTGTGGGTGTGCCAAGGTAGAAGAGTTGAATCCGACAATTATCCAACAAGATGTCTATGGAGATTGTCAGTCATCCAGGTCCCAAAGCTGCTTTTTCAGGAGGCAACTGGACTTTCTTTCTTTCTTTTCTTTTTTCTTTTCTTAAGATGATCACTCATGCACCTCTGCTTATACTTTAAAAATCATTTATGTTTATATCCCAAAAGTAAACATATAGGTTAGATAAGCTGGATGCTTTGGAAAACATGCTAATATATTCACTACAGAATTACATCTGCTTTCCTATGAAATGTGCATGTGGGCGTGTGTTGGCACATCTTCAAGTCATTCTGGACTCTTGGCAACTGCTTCCCCAAGTCCCCAAGAATCCCAGTTTCCAGTCTGGTGCCTCCACCAAACTGGCTCTCTTCTTTGAGCCGGCCTTGACGTTGACCACATGGATGAGTCCCTGCAGTTTTCTTGGCAACATTTTTAGAAGTGGTTTGGCATTGCCGCTTCTTCCCAGGCCTGAGAGGGGGACTGGCCCAAAGTCCTGCAGCCAACATCCGTGCTCAAGGTTAGAACTCAGTTTCTAACCACTGTATTTAACCACCATATTAAATATTTAGTTGTTTGTGTAAACTTGAGTTTGCGCAAACCTGACTGTCTATGTGTAAGTAAAACATGAAGGAAACGTCCATGACAGTTTGCGAACAGCACCAGATAAGCAGCATCGCGTTCTGAGTAAAGCCAGATGGCAGCTGGTTGTTCCATTGTCCTTGACCATTAACTCTACTTCTGGAATGGCTTCCCTCATCAGGTTACAGGACCGCCAGTGTCATTATTGCCTTGACGGACGGAGAACTTCATGAGGACCTTTTCTTCTATTCTGAACAAGAGGTAGGAGCCTTGCTTTGAAAGTCTGTAATGAATGGAATGATGCACCAAAAAAGTTGCTCTTCCCAGGGAATGGGAATGCAGAAGCAGGTTGGTTTTAAAATCTCAACTCCTACGGAAAGCTCAATCAAACAATGTCCATAACCTCTTTCTTGGTCTAAGCGCTTTTGTGGGAGAGGAGACTGACAGATCTTCTCCTTTGCAGATAAAGCCCAGACTTTCCACCTCTTGGGGTTTCTCAGGAAAGGAAAGGAATGAATTCTTAGGGTCAACATGTTAATTTATCTTGGATTTGCAGAGAGAAAGAGAGGGAGGGAGGGAGGGAGGGAGAGAGAGAGATCCAGTGAGGTTGATGGCACATGTTTGCAGACAGTGTTTTGTCTGTCTATCTCAGAGGCTCACAACTGGCATGTCATTTTCACTCGCCTGGACTCAGCTTTATTTTTGGAGAAAAACAAGAGAACTTTGCCCAGACAAGCTTGGAGCCACAGTCTGACAGTTCACAAGCTCATTTTACAGGGAGATGCATTAGAAGGGCAGAATATAACCTTTTAAATAAAGTAAAAAAATGCAGATGAATTGGCTTTTCTCTTGGGAAGTGACAAGAGGTTTGCATGGCACTTCATGTCTTTTAATACATTATTGTATTAAACCTCTCCGATAACTGCACTGCATCTCCATCTCTGCATCCCCACTTTGCAAGGGTTGGAGGGGACAAATCTATTTATTTCAATGTTCTTCCCATCTTATCTCCCATCAACCAGATTCTGCTTCATTATTTTTTCCCCCCAAGTCTTTGTGAGCATTCATTTTGTTTCCACACAGTTCTGGGAAGCGCGCATTAAGAAAGCACATAATGAAATATAAACCCAATGAATTTCTTTCCCATCATTAGCCTAGGGACTTTCCCAAGGAAAATGTTGCTGCTCTCTTCCCTCAACTGTCATCTTTGACTGCAAAAATTAAATACTTCAGGATTCAGCAGATGCATTACAACATCTTTAGAAGGATGAACCAGAGGATATGGTAATTCTTTCAGAAACACGAATCTTCAGGGCTGTCACCACAGTTCTACAAAAGGGATTAATCTGAGCTCCAAGATGGGGAGAGTGCATTAACTTGTCTGTGTTCTAACAAAATAAGGTTTCTCAACAGCACAGGGGTAGAGAGATCCATCCATGCATAACTTGGCCTTCCTCAATCCAAGGCCTTCCAGATGCTTTCAGGAATTCTTAGTCTGCAACACATCTGGAGGGCATTAGATTGCAGAAAGCTATCATGGCCTGTCCTCTCTGTCTGAAGCATTTGAATGGAATTGGCTGGATTTATCCGGCATGTCTTCTTTTAGGATGCTTGGGAATTGAGCAGCCTTATGTGGGACAAGGCTTACGTTGTGAGATGCATCATTTCAGCCCTCTTCTGAAATCGTAATTATTGTTGTGCAGAAAATGCAGACTGAAGTCCCTCTCTCCTGTCTCCCCATCATTTCCATTCAAGAGAAGAAGCTCCTGACAATTTTTTTTAATTTAATTCCTAATAAAGACATGGGGCCAACTGACCCCTGATTGGCCCTTGCTGTCACATAATTCCTGATGGCACGGAAGCCCAGTGTCCGTGCCTGGAGCATCCAGAGTGGTGCGAAAGGCATTGGAGAGAAAACCAATGTATCATGAGTGGCAGCTTGTCCTGGCAGAGCCCTTCTCCAAGCTGGTGTCTCCAGATCTTTGGAAATGCAAACTGGGGAGGTTTTAATCCAATGGACAGATAGTCCTTGACTTACGACCACAACTGAGCTCAAATTTTTTGTTTCTAAGTGAAACCGTTGTTCAGTGAGTTTTGCCCCATTTTGTTACCACAACTGTTAAGTGAATCACTGCAGTGATTAGTAACATTAGTTGTTACAGCAATCTAGCTCCCTCGTTGACAAAGGGGGATTATGTGACTTTGGGAAATCGCAACCGCGTCTGAATTTTGATCACATGACTATGAGGACGTTGCAACAGTCATACGTGTGAAAACGGTCATAAATCCCTTTTTTTCAGCGCAATTGTAACTTCGAACAGTCACTAAACAAATGGTTGTAAGTCGAGGACTACCTGTACTGTATAAGGAGGGTCAGGAAGGCTTACATAAAGAAGAAGCAACTGCATTCCCCTCTGCTTCCCTCAGTCTGAGACTCTTTTTTTAAATCATAATTGTGGGTTGCATCCCAAACAGAAAGGCCATCCTAATCTGTTGAATGTGTTTTTTTCTTCCTGGTGAGCTGGCAGGCAGGTGGGTGAGATGGGCCAGGAGATGGAATGGGAGCTAGGAAGCCCCGTCCAAGAAGGACTGTTTCTTTATGCTGGGTGGGCTGCAATCCATGCTTTGCCCTCTCTTTCCAGGCCAACCGGTCCCGTGAGCTGGGAGCCACAGTGTACTGTGTTGGTGTAAAGGACTTCAATGAAACTCAGGTAATTTTCAATCATTTTGCATTTGGGCAAAGCTTGGTTTGAGTGCCACAGCTTTCAGTCTCGTTTGAAATGGCTTTTGAGGGAGCTAGAAGTTCAGGAGTGTCTGCAGGATATAGCTCCAAAATGTCAAAAATGCCTGTGTTTTTGCTGTAATGGTTGAGTTCGGGCTGATAAAGATTCAGAAGGTGGATATGCAACCAGCCAGTTTCACGGTTTCCTGTGAAAAAGTTCTGACATCTCTACAGACATCACAGGATGGCTGGAATAACAAAAATGAAAATGAAAAATGAAATTGATCCAATGGGAAACAGTTCAGCTGCTGGAGTTTGTACAACCCCATTCCTCATATTTCAATAAATCTTGCTAAAGAAAACTTTGAGAATTAGATTGGAAAGAATGTTGGTTTTAGGCAGCTGCCAAAGAGCCTGGAAGGTGCCTCTAAAGACTCCATGGATCCATTCTCCTATAATAGTTTAAACTATGATCCAGGTTCGGCCAGGATTCTATCATAGTTTTTCTCATTCTCAGCAGCTTAAGAGATGTGGACCACATCTCTCAGAATTCTCCCGGCAGAATTCTGAGACCTGAAGTCCACACATCTGAAAGTTGTTGAGGTTGCAAAACACTGTCCTATTACATTGAAGTTCTCTGCTTCAAGGGGGTTTGCTAATTCCCCTTCACCCCACTATGGTACTTGTAAAAACTAGAATCCTATTGTGGTGATGAGTGCAAATTCTGAGAGAAAAAAATGAGCACGGAAGAAACAAAATCCACGCACACATGAACGGCAACAAAGCTTGACAAACGGCTGTCTCCACCTCTTGCGCAATGGTCATCTGCCTCTTGGCAGTGTCCAGCTTTTCCTTACATCCTTGTTGGCTGACTCACTTTTCCACCTATTTTTTTCTCCAAAACCAGTTGGCCCGAATTGCTGACAGCAAGGATCACGTTTTCCCTGTGAATGATGGCTTTGAAGCTCTCCAAGGAATCATAGACTCTGTAAGTCTTGCTTACCACTGTACGCATTTCATGACTTAGTGAAATTAGCATTGTTGTTGCCAGAAACAGTATATTTATCAGCGCTGGAACATCTGAGGGCCTCCTAGGAAGAGACCAGTAGCAGCCACTGAACTGAATGGCTTGGCCGAGTGGAAGAGAGATTTGGGCTGAATGATAGCTTTGAAATGCTCGGGAATTATTTAGCAAAAGCAAAGAACATTAGTGGCTTTTATTCAGAGGACTGGGGGAGTTATATGTCATTACGAAGGCCTGCATCTCACTTCATTTTTGAAACCAAATCACCCAAGACGGGGAAGTATAGTACTGTCTTAGCGAATCTTGCCACTTTTCCACAATATTTTTATTATTGCTAGCATTGATGATGTTACTTAATTTGGTAATGAAACATCTATAAGAAATCCACCAAGCTCTGAGAGCACCTAGGACTGCACAGTTCAAACTGAGTTACAAATATTCCCTTCTATTTTTGCTAGATCTAAAGAGAGGATCCCAGGTATCAGTGTACGGTCTTTTGGAAGCTAATAGAGAAGGGCATGATTCAGGGGCATCTGCAGAGAGGAGGTGAAAAGAGTCAAGATGGCATCCATGACTGCTCAATCAAAACCACCATCTTGACAGTTTTTTGATCCCACATGTGGAGGCCCCTGGCCTGATCCTTCCTCCAGAGCTTCTACTGCAGGACCGTCACATCCAGGCAGTCCTCAACGTACAATCACAATTGAGCCCAAAATTTATGTTGTTAAATGAGATATTTCTTAAGTGACTTTTGCACAACAGTGTGGTCACAACAGTGTAATAGAGGTGTCCCCTGGTTTTTTTATTTGCAGATACTCTGTGTCAGCACCAGTTCTTGTCTCTGTGAGAGTCACCCCTAAAACTCCCTTTTGCAAATTAAAAGCAAATTATTTTTTTAAAAATAATAAAGGTGGGACATACATAAACGTAAATAAATAATTGTAATATTACAATTGGCAAATTATATCATTTGTCATTTGATTCTAAATGTGTAGATCAAGCAGATGCAGGTGGGGGCCAGCAATGTCCTTGAAGGAGCATAAAAGACTGAACCAGGCAGTGCCGGGGCATTGAAGAAAACCCCACTTTACTCTGTGTGTGTGTGTGTGTCATGCTCCAAAGGGCGGAGCTTATAGTGCAATGCTGTGGTGCTTCTTTCATGTTTCAGATAAAAGATGCTGGGACACATGGCATCTAGGGTAAGCCCCACTGGTAGCTTCCATCTGCAACCATGGGGGCCATTTTATCATGCCAATGACCAAATGGCATCCTTGTGTCCTTCATGTTCTATGTAGGGAACTCAATCATGCCGTGATGCCATTGTTTTGATGCCATTGCGGGTTGTCCCTGATTCTTAGGTCCACCCTAGCAAAGAGGTATATGTATGTGTGAGTCATTTCAGATCCGCCAAACATCAGAAAAAAGGCATAGGGGCCTCCATGGCTCCTTCTGCCTTCCTGCAGAAGCCAAACAGGACTTTAGAACTTTTTACCCTTCTCCCGGTCCAAAATGAAGTTTTCCATTCTTTTTCTTGAAAAGAATCAGCTGGAATGAGATTGTGGGCATATGTGGGCCATGTAAATAAAATTAGCTGGCTACTCCAGATAATCGCAACGGAAGTCTCCATGCTGTGACTCACTCAAAGGTCACCGTCTCAAAGCAAGGGATGCCTCTTTCTGGAAGTTTACATCCTGCTTTTCCAAAGAAAAGTTCCAAAAGTTCTCCATCTGGATGCACCCGAGGTTCCTAAGCCATATTCTTCTTTCTTGTGCCTTCTAGATTCTGAAGAAATCTTGCATTGAAATCCTCGCTGCAAAGCCTTCCAGTATTTGTGCAGGCGGTGAGTTTACAATGGGGTGTTTTCAGCCTTTCTTGCTTTGGGGAATGGGGTCTCCGAGGGAAGGCACTCAGCTGTCCTCTGGCACTCTGGGGGAAAATTTCCTTGGCACAAAAACGCCAGAAAATTCCATCTGTTGGTTGTCTGCTTGCATTAAAAAAAACACAACTTGATTTGATCTATTTTTAGAGTTGATTTTCATTTAAGGCAGACAGGCTCTGACATCTCAAACTTCATTTATAAGATATTGGGAGGCCAATTAACGGAGGTTTTTGCCTTCCCCACTTTGGCTCCAGCCCAAATCTCCTCTCTGCTGTGTCTTGGCTAACGTTTGAAATTCTGAACAACCAGAAAAGTGCAGATCCCATCGTCCTCCATCTTGGCTTTGTCCCTTTTCAAAGTTTAGCTTCCCTGCCTGGAAAAATATCAGGATTGGGGATGGGGGCACCAATTCCACATCCAAAGGGTTGGGAGCAAGAGGAATAAACTGGATTCAGGGATCTTGCTTGGAATACGTAAGACTAAATAGAGTGTGAATCAGCCTTGTTTGGAAAGCCACTCCCAGGCCCAGATACTGCTAGGGAGAGAGACAGCGATGGCTGGAGATTGCAGATTCTCCTCTGAGGTGGGACTTCTGCATGGACACAGAAGGTTTTGTTGGTGCGACAGAACTTCAAGAGCTCTTGGAGGGGGGGGGAAAGCATATCTTGTGGTTCTTATTTATTGATAAGCATTATATTTGTACAGGTAGTCCTTGACTTACAACAATTCGTTTAGTGATTGTTCAGAGTTACAACAGCACTGAAAAGAGTGACATGACAAGTTTTCACACAACCATTGCGGCATCCCCATGATCATGTGATCAAAATTCAGACACCTGACTACTGACTCATATTTATGATGGTTGCAGCATTCGTCCCATCAACCTACTCAGTAGGTGTCCTTTGAGAAGTTCCACGTTTGCCATGGAGGCGAACATCTCTGTTTCCTAGATAGGCTTCAGATGCAGGAACAGGAGCGAGCTGGAAGTGAGCCAGCTACCAGACTGAATTTTATTTCAAAGCAGAGTTCCTAGGAACAAAGATGTACAGGGATAAATCCATGTTAGACTCACCATTGAAGAGATCTTCTAGCCATCTCAGAACTCCAAGCTTATTCCAGCTCCTCCTGCAAAAAAACTGGATGGCTTATTTTCTCTTTTTCCTACATTCAGATCTTGTCTTTCTGGCAATGGCATAGATTCCCTGGGAAAAAAGAACCTGCTTTATTTGGGAAAGAGTTAGGCTCCATGGACAGCAGCTGGCAAACAGACCTTGGCATCCACCCCAGTCGGCTGACTTTTGCCCCTTCAGGGGTCCCCGTTGGCTTATTTAAACATCTAACAGCTCGCTGGGAAGGAGAGCCATGAGGCCCTGCAGAATCACGGAGTTATTCAGAGTTCATGGGCTCCGCCAATTGTTTACTAATTATTTTGGATATAAATGGGAGTGAGTTTACATGTTAGATGAGAAACAGTTCATTCCCCAGGCTTTTCAAAGTCTGCAGACACAGCTATGTGATGAAGAATGCTGACCCACCCATTTTATGTTCTTCCAATGGATAAGCTGTCTTTGTTTAGTCCATGCTGATTTTGTGTATGTGTGTGTGTGTGTGTGTGTGTGTGTGTGTGTAATCATCAGTCTGAGCCATCCAATTTTAGCCTAGATCTGCAATTAACAAAGACAAAATTGCATTAAAGTTCACAATTTGACACTTTCTCCAATGTTTTGGCATCCAGTATTTGACTCCAGAACTGCATTACAAAATGCAAAAAGCACAATTCATAGGATCGCTCGTCTTCAGGGGTTTTATGCCACAAACTAGAATTGACATCTGTTTTATTTAAATGTGTTCTCATCCAATGGTTGGCCCATGTCTTAACGAACAAAGTTATGAATTCAATTGTTCTCAGTTTTTATTTTATCTTCAGATGTTTTAGTGGCCTTTCAGATATTTCCTGGTTTGGGAGGAGGGACCTGGATGGAAACTAGCTGATATTTTCAGTGTAGAACTGGGTAGATATCTTGGATTAATAGAAATCAAAGTCCCCATTTACTAAAAACATGCCAAAAGAGCAGACGAAAACTGTTGTTGTACCCTCAAGAACCCAGAAATAGGCATTTTTGAAGCTCCAATGCCATGCAGGGTTTTGATCTTCAGTTCTCAGCAGGACCATGTTTGATTGCGAAATTGGGTCTCCACAACCATACAGAAAACTCTACAGGGGCGCAAAATAGTAGTCAGAATGGTGCTGTTTGGCCTTCTCTGGTTAAAATAATCGGTTCTGAATACGAGAAGCCACCTCCCCAAAATTCATCAGACGGCATTTGTAGTGGGAGCCAATAAAACAGTAAGGAAAACATCTGCCAAACAGGGAGAACATCTGGGGAAATAAGTTCCATCTTCAGCTGGTGGTCTCTGTTTGTGTGAACCCTGGGAGTCTATCTCTAATCTAGAGGATGCCAAAAAGGAAAAGTGCCTTTAAATAATCTGGTCGCAATATATTTTTTAAAATATCAGAGAGTTCAGGCCCCTCAGATCCATTTTGTTCTTTTACTTGAATTTCAGGTCTTCTTCCCAGATGTGTAGAGGCCAAAACTTTACAATTAAAAGCTAGAAAATTGACCTGAGTTTATAAAAAGCTGGTAATCCCTAGCTGCCTTGTTGTTGTTGTTGCTGCTGTTATTATGACTGGATGGACAATCAGCCATATCCATGTTTAGGCTGGGTTTGGCATTTTTGTCCACCTGCTGAGTCCTTCCCAAGAATCTGGGATGGGCAGATGTTATTGTTTGATGGTGTTGAAGGTGCAGCATTGTTGCAGGATGTAAGCTGTTTCAAATAAAGCTGCCTTTTGTAATTGACTGATGGTGATTTTGTCAACACCAATGGTGTTCAAGTGGTGCTCTGGTTGTTTTGGGATTGCACCCAAGGCGCCTATGACAATTGCTTTCTTTTATCACAGATGTTCTACTTCTATTTACAGGTCTTTGTATTTCGTGATTTTCTCCAGTTTTTTCTCTTCTGTTCTGCTATCTCCAGGTACTGCAACATCCTATATCCAGACATTTTTTGTCTTTCTTATCAACTGATCTTAAGCGTGGGGTGTTATGTGACAGGTGCTGTCTGTATGAATTCTAAAAACCCAGAGCACTTTAGCTTCTTTATTTTCTATTACTTTATCTATTTAGTGGTCCCACCAATTCCTGCTTGCAGGCAATTGGTACTTCTTGCAGGTATTTCAATGCACCGATGTTGCTACTTTGTCATGCCGTTGTTTGTAGTCAGTCTGTGTGAGCATCTTGCAACAGTTAAGCTACTATTATAGGCTAATTATTATAATTATATTATAATTATTTCAGCTGTTCAGTTTAAGTTTAAATGCAAACTTTGCCGCATTTATAGATATGCTGCCGGATGTCAAAAAGGAATTTTTTTTAATTTACTGCAAATAATGTAAAAAAACCTCTAGGCAAAGAATAGTTCACAGATCTGTTATTGCACTGGAGGATTTGGACAAGGCACTAAATAGGCACCTTTGGGGATAATTTAATTAGTTGCCTTACATATTGCAGGGCAGTGGACTAGATGATCATTGTGGTCTTGTCAGATGCAAATAACCAGGAGCATTTGTTGTATTCAAAGCAAAAAAGAGATTATTATTGCTACCTATACATAATAATCTAGTCACCTAATGGTCAAAAGTAAATTGGCACTGGATAAAGGTCAATGGAATTCACAGTGGGAGGGCTGGACCTGGCTCTCTTGTGGCAATACAATGACTCCAAACTCATGACACATTTAATTCTGCCTTCCAGCTCAGCTTGCTGTTCCCCTATAGGTCCTTTCCAACTCCACATATTTGTGATTATGGACCTATACTCATGCAGCCAAAATTCAGTAACAAAAATGCTGATTTTCAGCGGTACAAATTACATTTCTTTCTTTCTTTCTTTCTTTCTTTCTTTCTTTCTTTCTTTCTTTCTTTCTTTCTTTCTTTCTTTCTTTCTTTCTTTCTTTCTTTCTTTCTTTCTTTCTTTCTGCACTCATTTCCACTTTTACCCCAAAACAGGCTGGAAAGTTCCACCCACCCCTCCCCATCCTCCCACCATGGCTCTGTGTCTGGAAAAACACCACAAAATACTTCCTGCTCCAGAACATTTTCTTTGGGAAATCTGTTAAACCATTTCCAGAACGTCAAGGCAAAAATGGGCCTTCTGGGGAACATTTAATCCCTGGGATATTGAGTTTTTGGAGATCCTACACTTGGGGCCTTTTTCTCTTCCTTCTTGCTCAGACAAGTATTGCAGGCTTTGAAGCTGGGCACAAGTGGCTTTTTCTCCACTGATTTTGGGGTTAGAGAAATTGGGTGGATGAGTTCTCTAAACTTTTTTTCAGGAAAAAGAAATTCTTTGACCGTTCCTCCTAGCGGGACTTCCCCTTGGTGGTGCTCCTGGCCTGAACTGAAGGAGCCCCACCGAGAACTTGTCGGGAGAATGGCAATAGCTGGGGCGGGGGGATGGAGTGAAAAGAGGAATCAACCTACAATCCCTACGTAGCCGCAAGCAAACTAAGTCCAACCCCCCCCCCCTTGAATTCTGTTGACCCTTATCTAACTCTACCCAGGTGCTCACCATTAGTTAAGATTTTTGTGCGTAGACTATAGCAATAAATCAGCTTAATTGACCCTTCATGTGATTTTCTGCATCTGACTGAAGTCCTCTTCAGATGTCCTCCTTGGGGCTCAGCTGGGAAGCCAGAGAGGCTGTTGACTCTGGAGATAGGGTGGTCCAGTGAAAGAAAATCACTGGAGAAAGGAGAATGAAGCAGAAAGTCTTTCTTCATTGCCGTGCACACAAAGACAAGAACGTCCCTAAACCTCCCATTGATCGAGATGCCCTTGATGCCTTCACTCCCGTTTCACTAATCAGCTGCCTCAATCACCCCTATTTATCTGTGAAATCTGAAATAACCAGATGAGGATTCTTCCTCTTCTCTGCAAAGGATGGTGGGGTGGGGGTGGATCTTCTACCTGGCTACACCCTTCCCTGAATGAGCTCACCAGTTTGAAACCAAGGAGTTGCTTAGGCTGGCTGTGCAGCCAACCCTTTGGGATGGAAGCAACTGAGTCTTGGAGCGGAGCCTAGATTCCTGAGTCAATTTGTATGCTTTGTGCAGCTATGGTGCAGGAGACGCCCCCCCTCCCGCCCCCAAGGCATGGATTTGGCCAGAGGCAGAGCGAGTGGGCGGTGGCTGCTGAGCACCAGAGATACTGTTGATTCAGCAGAAAGTGGGTTCACTTGGCTTCAAAGAGTCGACAGTCATCCTTGCCCGCTCCCCAATGATTTTTGAGTTTTAAGCACTCTTGCACAGACAAAACTTGCTGACTGCAGGGCAGAAGCTGTTTAGAAAACTCTTGGTGAGGTGTTGCTTCCGACTTTCTCGGAGGCTTTTTTCTCTCGCAGCAGCAGCAGCTCAAAAGGAGTGGCTCTGATCCCTTTTATCCTACTGATCACTGGGGGCACTTAGAGTCTTGTGCGCTTTCTCTTTGCTACGCTTTTCCCCTTGATTGAAAGACAGGCGCTCCTTTGGACGGAAAACGTAGCTCCGTGTTTCTCAATCCCAGCAACTTTAAGGTATAAGGACTTCAACCATTTAGCACACAGGGCCAAAAGTTAAATCGAAATTAGTGTTGGGCCAAATGATTGAAATGGCACTAAAACACACAGAGAGAGACACATACACAAGCTCTACATTGTGTAGTTGTTTCTCCCAATTTCCCAAAAATGTTTGATTTTTTTTTTTAGGGGTAGTAAACAAAACTCTTGTCTGCAGACCAATTTTCCCAGTGATATGCCTTAACATGCATGATATTGGACCGAGGTTTTACAAAATATTAAATTTTCTATGAATGTCCTCCAAATGTTTTAATTGTCTTTTTAGGATGATGAGATAAGATTGTATCATAACACCTTTGTCATTTTTTTTTCTTTCCGTTGTTGATTACTGCTCAAATTCCACTCTCAAATACCTTCCGTGATGCTAGAAAAAGACACCTGCACAAGGTGGGCTGTATAAAGACGTCATTTACAGCTGTGGGTTCATCATTTTCAGAAATGATTCTGTTACACATTTCAGGAGCATTTGTGAGGACTTTTCTTTCTGTCGTGCCTTATTCGAGTTTTCCTCTGCTAATTATTTGTCTTGTTCTAACATCTCTTTGGGCCAAAATATACTCTGCCATATCCTCAGGACCTTAATTAAGATGACTGCCAAATAAATTGACAGTTAGCTTAATTGTGGAGATTTTGGTGCCCTCTGAGCTTGGTGGTTTGCTTACAGATGTTTCATTACCAGACTTGGTAGCATCTTCATGTTCAAAAAAAATCTGCAAAAGAACCACCAAGCTCAGAGAGCACCAAGGAGTCCACAGTTCAATCCTGAGCTACATAAAGTCCCTTCTTATTGGCATCTTAATTTTCCTGGTTGATAGAAAGCTGGGAGTCAAGTCAAAAAGTAAAACTATCAGCAAATAAAATGCCTGAGCAGGGTTCCTTTATCTGGCATTATCATTTAATTATAATTTTAATAAATCAGTAATTATTTTGAACTCATAAAGAATATCTATATCGCTGCTTGGACTAAAAAATGACTTGATGGCACTTAATCAATCAAGTTTTTTTTTTAAAAAACCCAAAAAACTCTAATGCCCTTCTCAAATAAGCCGTGGTTTCCTTTACTTTCAGAGTCCTTCCAAGTTGTGGTGACAGGAAATGGCTTCCGACACGCCCGTAATGTGGATCGTGTCCTCTGCAGCTTCAGAATCAATGAGACGGTCACACTCAGTAAGTTACCGTGCGGTCCTATCATCCAATAAACCCTGAATGTCTAGTGATTTTATTTACTTTTACTGATTTATTAAGGACAATAAAAACAAAACTGATACCATCACCAACATGATGGTGATGATGATGATTCCAGTCTAATAACGGTTGTGTTGCAATGTTCATTTGTGTGGCGTTTGCGGCATTGATTGAAAATCCTTGCAGAAGGAAGGAATGCTGTGGCTCAGCTTTGCCATCCTACTTCATTCAAGTGTCCTTGACACAGAGAAGAAGGCTGGTAGGAATCCAGAGTTATCCCCAGGGGATGGTCAAAAAAGGCAATGTGGTGGTGTGCCCCATGAGACACACATAAGAACCTAGCTTCAGTCTCACTCTTGGAGATGCCATCTTGACTTTTTTGTCTGCACCCTACAGTCACCTCTGGAGCTCATCTGTTAACCAATGCTGATGATGGAAGTGTTGGTGTTAAGCTTAGCTGCCTTCTCCCTTGTTGCAGTTGGGAACAAAGACATGGAGAGATTTTTTTTCTGTATCTTTTTGCCTTTGCTACTATTGGGCTGGATTCCACGCTACCAGGTATTGGGTAGAGCCATGATGTTTTTCTGGAGTCTAGGATTTCTTTAATTTCAAAATGTTGTTCACCTTCTACCATGATTGGAGGAGAGGGAGGAGTTTCGGCTGGCCTTAAGGGGGACTGCAGTTCGTGTTTTAAAAGGCTACAGTGGAAAGTTGGGTGAACCTGTCTGAGTGTCTTTGGAAATCCTAATTCTACTGTGACAGAATTAATTATTCTTTTAATGGGAAAAGGTCCTACAAATTTCGGTCCTAGCTTTTTTGAGGGTTGTAAGGATTTTAAGTATTTTGTTGACAGATAAACTTTCTCTCCTACTGTAAATGGTTTTGGTTCACTCCGTTGTTTATCTGCTTGGATCTTATAAGCTTCTCTAGCTTTGTCTAATGCCTTCCTCACTACCGGCCAGGTATTTTGCAACTGTGCCATCCATTCCTTTAGGATTGCAGACTGGGAGTTCAAGCATTGAGTTAAAACTTTGCCTGTTTGCAACTTGGAAAGGAGTGTAACCCGTGCTGGAATGGACTGCATTGTTATAGGTGACCTCTGTGAATGGAAGCAGGTCGGTCCAGTTGTCCTGCTGGTAATTAATAAAACATCTTAAGAACTGCTCCAGTACTGAATTCGACCGTTCAGTCCCACCATTCGTCTGCAGATGATGACTAGATGACAGGGTGGTCCCCAACAGTTTTAAGAATGCTTTCCAAAATTCTGATGTGAACTGTGTTGTTCGTCCATCGATTTCGATGAAGACCTTGACATCTTATAGATTATGGGCCATCAGCGGTGTGTCCGTAGATGGCTGATGAGACCGATGTTAGCACGGAACTGTACTTCTCTGTCTGATATGATTCATTGTGGGGCTCCATGAAGTCGATAGTTATGTTGGACAAAGAGCTTTGCAAGTGTTTTTGCATTGGGGATTTTTTGGCATGGAATAAAATGTACTTGTTTAGAGAACAAGTCCGTTACGACCCAGATGACTGTGTTCCTCCCACTTTCCAGTAATTCCACAATAAAGTCCATAGAGATTTCCTTCCAAGGTGCTGGTTGCAACAAGCCTGGGGTCTTTCCTTGCATTCTCTTCGCTGTAGCACAGACTGGACATGTGGCCACATAATTTTCAATGTCCTTTTTTGTTCACTAGATGTAAAGTTTTTATGAGTCTGAAATGTCCAGCTGATTTTGAGTCGTGGCATAACTGCATGAATGTCAATCTCTGGCTTTTTGGGATGTACAGCTGTGTTCTTCTGCCAGGAATTCCTCACCGACCCTCTCTTCTCCATCTCTTCTCTTGCAACACACACACTTTGCCTTCTCGTTGATCCCCGGGGCATCCATGACACACATTAAGAAGTGGCAGAGTAGGTATTATTTTGTGCTGGTGAGATTGATCCATGTTGGAGAGTCTGGATACATGCCAGAATCTTGGAAACCTCTCAAGGAGTGTCCATCCCTTGTTTATAGTGAGCTCGCAAAGGTGGAGACCATTGAGTGACTTGAAATGCTTCTTCATGGATTTTTCTTCATGTGGGCTGAGTTGCAACTTATGAGATCAGCAGCCCGCAGATTCTCCTTCAGTCCTTCGTCTCTTGATGGCTTAAATCTTCTCTCCTTTCCATTCCTTTCCCAGTCCCTCCATGGTCATCGCCATGTTTTACAGCTTCCAGCATGCTCCAAAGATAACACCTCACAGAGGGTGTTGCAGGAGTTTCCAGCAATGAGGACATCACCCTGCTTGCAAAGGATGCCTGTGAGAGGAATCTGAGCATCAATTGGTTGACAGTCTCCACATTTTTCTGATGCTGTTCTCTGTCTGTGCTCATATCCTGTCTGGTTCTAGATCTGGATGGGACAAAAGAACGCAAAGAACTTAGGGGTTCTCCTGGGGGGAGACCGAGCACTAAAAGTGAGTGGTGGGAAGGCACGTAGGGGACACATGTGGTGTAGACTGCCACGTGGCTCAGCACCTGACTCCATTTTACAGGTTGCAGCTCATGTAACATGCAAGAACTATAATAGCAAATGTAAAGAACTTCACACGCTACTTGGAAATAGCTGAACAAAAAAAACAACCCACTGGAATGCCCATGAAACCCCTGGGGAAAAGCTCCAGTCTCAAGCCAAGTTTGAACCTTGAGTAACACTCAGGGAAAACCAGATCCCAAAGGAAGTTTTTCCGGTGGTGACATTTACCCATGAAACTGCCACCCTTGTGGGGGAAAAGGAGCTATTTTGCTGAAGTGTGGAAATGGATAGAGAAGCCACAAAAAGGCCACAAAGAAAAAACAAAGGCAAAAACTGCAACTCTAGGTAGATCAAAGAGACCAAGAGCCCAACAGGAATATTTTTGAATTAAAAATAAAAGGGAAACATTAAGAGAGGATCCAGAAATGTCATTTTTCTCCCGACATCCCTTGCTGTCCATAGAAGAAGCAAAATCCATAAGAGAGTCTCTCTCTCTCTCTCTCTCTCTCTCTCTCTCTCTCTCTCTCTCTCTCTCTCTCTCTCTCCAACTTATCCCAAACGATTCTTCCCCTGAGGAGATATTCTCTCTCTGCCTCATATTTTAACTTACAAATAGGATTTTAAGGCAATGGATAACAATATTATAATATTTTACAATCATAACTAACAAGGACCTCCTTCTTTCAGTCCTTGTTTTCATGCCCGCCGATGAGAACAGTTAATTAAATTAAGGATCTACCAAATTGTGGGCCATAAATCTACCCTGCAGTTGAATGCAGTATCTTATACAATTCCCTTTAGCGGTGAGGGTACTTCCTACCATCTGGTCCCCAACATTTTCTTAACCAATCAACTTACATTTATCTTTTTCCCCAGCAGGTAGATATCCTTCCAACAAAGAACTGGCAATTGTCTATCAATCATTTTTATTTTCTATGTATGTCTATACATACATATTTATTTTCTATATAAATATATAGCATTAAAATAAATTTTACTGAAAGCTAGAGCTTGTGCACTAGCTGTATAGTCTTTTCAGCTTTCACACATACATAGAAATCTTTCCTATAAACTGACAAGGTTCATACATCACCCCAAAAGGTAGTTGGTCTCAATCATAGTTTTTACTATGATGCTATACCAGCTTTCTCCAAACTAGTTGCTCTCCAGATGTCTGATTTATAGTAATTCAGTCTGGGGAATTCTTAGAAGTGAAGTACACATATCTATAGGAATAGAAGGTGGGGGAGAAGCTTCAGCTGTAAATCACTGTTATAAATTAGACTAAATCAGAACTTTATTTGAATTACTCCTTTCATAGACTTATTATCAAAATTTTATTTTGTGGTTGTGAAACCTCTCCCTTGCATAATTCATAGAGGAAGAGATGAGATGGTGACTCTTCGATGGCAATAAAAAGTTAAAGTTTATTGTTTCTTTTTGCTGTCATCTAATGGTTGTCCAGATTTTAGCAACTCAGACCTGCTAGTTCTAGTTTAACTATTAAACTGCAGCAGATAAAAGAATCACCAATTTCAGCAATAAAAAATGTAATTTCATGAATTATTTTATAATTCAGTGGAAAGCCTACATATGTTGACTACATCCAGAAAGGCTGCCTATATGCACCATATACTTGTATTCTTTTTTGATCTTCACCTATTCTACATAATGAAGCCTGTTAGCAGAAACCCAACCTGCTGATCCAATATATCCTTTTCTTTTCTTGCTATTTTTAATTGAAAAGTCATGATGGATAGTTATCTTTCCAATGTGACTATTTTTATCCTCAAAAAAAAAACAAGGTTGGGGACTAATTCAAAAACAATAATTTCTAATTATTGAGGATGGAGGCCCCTCTCCATGTGAAAGTTGCAAGATGCTCCCTTCTTAAAACCAGAGCTTTTGAGTTTTCAAATTCAGATATTTTTACTCTTCAAAACATGTCATCACCACATTTCCTTTCAAGACTGGTGACTGCACAAACTGTTTCTCAAGTCAGGAATGTATTTTTTCCCCCCACATGTAATAGCACTTATAAATTCCCAGGCTCTTTCTTGAACTGCATGAATAAAATCTTACGAAATATTGTTTGATTGCTGTTAATTATTGTCTTGCAAAGTATCTGATACTGTCAGATATTTTGGAACTGCAACTTTAGAATCCATATCAGAATGGAAATTAAAATTTTGGAAATTGAAATCCCAGATTGTTTGAGTGCTCCAAATGAAAGAACACAAATTTATTAAACCAGAAATAAATGAGCCTATTCCTTCCTAAACAATTACTAATCTTCTTTATGTGGATACTAATTTAATCATGGAATAAGATTCAGTTCAAATGAACTGGGACTTGAATAAGAACAAAGGTGGGCAACAATCCTTTATGTGTTTACTTGAAAGCATCATCAACATCATGAACTTACAGTTTACATAATTAGGACTGCCTACTTGTACGTATGTGTGCATACATACATGCATGTGTTAAGCCCACTTCTACCTTGTCCAATCAAAATGAATCTTGGCAGTTTATATAGAATATAAAAAGAAACCATTTAAAACTCCATAGTAATTTTTTAAATCCAACAGGAACTTGTCACATGGCAATAATCAAACAAGTCACTAAAAAGAACACAGAAAACAATAAAAAAGTTGGCATCTTAAAAATCTCAGGAGAAAGGCCTCCAAAATGAATCCATATTTAACCATTTTCAAAATATCACCAAAGACAAGGGTAGCCTGACCTCCACTGAGAGGGTATTTCCCTAGCAACAAAGCAGAGCCTTTTCACTTCAGCTTCACAAATCTTCCTAAATGTGGCAATTTTTCTATAGTTCTATTCAGTTGAGTCACCACTGGCTAGAATAGAAGGTCCTGCAGCTTCTAAAGATACTTTTTGTCATTATTTATGTATTCCATGACTATGTTTATGTATTGCAGAATTTAGTCTTAGGTCAAACTGAGCTCTGTTTCTTTCATTACCTAACCCAGGGGTAGGCAACCTTGGCTCTTTCATGACTCGTGGACTTCAACTCCCAGAATTCCTGAGCCAGCCATGCTGAGGGGAAAGGGAGAGGTTTCTAAGCTGAGCCAGGCTGGCTCAGGAATTCTGGGAGTTGAAGTCCATGAGTCATAAAAGAGCCAAGGTTGCCTACCCTTGACCTAACTTATCCCATGCTTGGTTTTCTCACTAGAAATATCCAATTACTCTGGTTTTATTAAGTTTTATTAAGTTATGTAGCTCCTAGCTGCTTTGAAGTTAAGCTTTCTTTCTAATTGTTTTCATAAAAAGACATTTTTCCCATGGAAAGCCAGGAGTGTTTTAATATTGTTCTGCTTTTAACTGAAGCTAGCAGTATATAACCTTTGAACTTTTTCTAATATCTCTTTATGATGTGCCTGAAGCCTCGTGTCTGGTGTTCCTCAAAGATTTGAGGGGTACCCAGTAGCAGCAGCACTTGAAGATTTGACCTGAGTTGGCCGAAGATTTTGACTCTGATTTATGGTGATAGTTTTATTTTCAGAGCTCCCTAGCTTTCACAAATCTCCTGATTATATGAGATAACTTGACTAAAACAGTGATTGCTTTATACTTCTAATTTCTAGAATCAAAACACTTTTGTCAAAGGAATTATCATGCTGTAATCAATATATGTAATCTTTTCTATATATTCATACAAAGGGACAATTCAACCACTTTTCATTTGAATTCAAATGTACATATGAATTCAATCATGTGTATAGCATATGATTATACATAGCACAAAGGCACCATATGATTTATTAATGTGAAAATGATAGATCAAAGTTATGCAAATAATATTTGTATGTCTACAGTCTGGTCATACTTGCAGAAGAAAATGAGGTACAGAAAGCAAAAACAGCAAATATAATTCCACTTTCCCATTCTTGGATTTTCCCCCCCCCCAAAAAAAAATCCGGCCTAGTATCTATTCAATGTAGAAAGCCAAATGACCGTATCCACATTTTAAAAGACATGAGTGTTTTAAACTTTGTTCCCCAGCAAGTGTTGACTGGTGCAATAGAGCCTTAGCATTGTTGACAACAATATAAGGAATAGAAAGTATGTTTAGGATTCATAGATTCTCAAAGAGTTTCACATACATTATTTTAGTAATATTTAAATCATATCTGCAATGTAATTTAAATTGTTGATATAATTTAAATATTATTAAGATAATTTCAATCTTACTTATAAACAGTGGTGAAAAAAATGGCATCTTTGCAAAGTGCAAGATGTTCCCAGAGTATCACATATCTACTCAGACAAAAGTGCATAGCTTAGCAGGGGGTGGAGAGGGAAAGTATCTGCAGAGACTTGACTCTTTCAAACATTACATTATACTTTCAGGCTGTACTGTGAGTTTCTTTACTGGCTTGATTGAATTGTCTGATATTGTTGGCTGCTGGCTGGATGAAAAGAGTGCCTGGAAATTTCTTTAATTTTTTTCCTAAGGTAAATAGAAACAAATAAATGGCAAAATTCCCGTATAGCCTGGAAAGGGGAATGTGCAGTAGACTAACACATATTAACTTGAAAGTTAGATTCCTTAGGTTCAGATGAGGCTAAACTTTGGGGCCGAAAGTTACTTTAGAAATAATTGGGTAAGCAAGCAAAAACTAATGCACTGTCATTTTGTAGCTTGGGTGGCAAATGAAACTGTGGCTGGATTCATAAAATGGCAAACTATACTATACTAATGTGATATACAATAAATACAGCCATTGCAATTTGTAAACTTACATAATGAATGTTTGAATGAAACATCATACATAAAGGAATGACTAAGTTAACAAGTGTCATTTGTTCAGCAAACTATCTTTAAAAAATGGTTTAACATCCATTCTTGCAGGGGCGATGGGGGGAGAGGTGAAGAGTGATGTTGAATGTGCCATGACATCATTGTAACTTGTACCAGATGCCTATGCTGATCAGCATTAATGAACTCAAGGCAATGTCTATATATTATTGTTGCTGTGGATATTCTATCATAAGAAAATCTTTCTTGCTTAGATATCCCTGGGAACAATCACATAAGACTCAGAAGTTAACTGCCACCATTGGATGTTTAAAAAATATCACAAAGAAAAAAATATTCATATTCTTATTCATCTTTTCCTGATTGCTAGCATGAATAAATGATTTTAATAAAAGGTTAATGAAATGCATGAGCATGAAAAATTCTAATTTAAATACTGAATATGCATATATTGGTCTTTAATCAAATGAAAATTTACAAAGTTGCAAGCATGATTATACATTTTCAAAATGATTTCATAGACAAGATACTGTTTTCCCTTTTAATTTATCTATTATGCAATGAAGAGATTTTAGAAATTAAGCATTATCATTATAGTTCATCACACAGTCAGACAGATGTTCAAACTGATTTGGCATTTTTATCCAACTATCGAGTCATTCCCAAGGACCTGGAATAGGCAGATGTTGATGTTTGGTGCTGTAAAAGGTATCATCCCAGGATGTAAGCTGTTCCAAGCTGACTTTTACTATTGACTAATGGTGATTTTGTCACTGCCCCTGGTGTTGAAGTGGTGCTTCAGTTATTTTGGAATTGTACCCAAAGTGCCTATTACGATTTTTACTAGCTTTGCTTTCTTTTGCCACAGTCATTCTGTTTCTTTTTGTAGAGCTTTGCATTTCTTTATCTTGTCAAATTCTTTCTCTTCTATTCTGCTGTCTCCAGGTACTCTATCCAGACTTTTTTGTCTTTCTTTTCAACAAAATTGTTAAGTCTGGAGTGTTATGTGGCAGGTGCCTGTCTGCTTGAATTCTAAAGTTCCAGAGCATTTTAGCTTTTTCATGTTCAATAACTTCCTCTATTTTATGGTCCCATCAGTTCCTACTTGCAGGCAAACAGTATTTCTTGCAGATCTTCCAATGCTCCATTGTTGCTGCTTTATTATGCAGTTATTTGTGGTGGTGGTGGTGGTGGTGGTGGTGATGATGATGATTGGTCACATAGTCATTCAGAGATTTAGACTGACATTTTTAAGTATCAATTCCTTCCCAAGGACCTGGGATAGGCAGATGTTGTGGTTTGATTATGTAAAAGTTATCATTGCAGGATATAAGCTGTTCTAAGTAAAACTGCCTTTGGGTGGTGATTTTATCAGTGCTTTGGGATTACATCTATAGCAGTATTATTATTGATATAATCTTTGTTTGTTTTGTCACAGTCTTTCTACTTCTACTTGCAGAAGTAGTATTTATATTTTATTTAGTATATATATATATTATTTTTTATATTTTGTTAATTTGTCCCGTGCTTTCTCTTCCATTGTGATGTGTCCAGGTACTGCAATATCCATTATTCAGACTTTTTTGCAATTATTATAATTATTATTATGGTTGGTCACAAAGTCATCCAAATGTTC